AAGAACCTTGGCACTCTTCACCTGGAGGAAATAAAACTAACTAAGTGGAACAAAACCATCTCAAATAGGACAGAACTATCAAATAGAAGAAAAATTTGACTTACTCTGACTACCTCTAAAATGTGAAACTAGAATCAAAGGGTAGTAGAATAAAGGGCAGATGAGGAATAGTTTTGTTTGTTTTAGAGCAATTGACAACGGAATGTGTTTTCTTGTGAGATAGTGAGCTTTTAGCTACTGGAAGTGTTCAAGCCAACCCTGGGATAACTGCCCACAACTGGAACATTGGGCTGCATCTAACAGGAAGTCGTTTAAGAAGACAAATGCTAAGTCCTTCATTTGATTCCAGAAAAAAAAAAGAATAATCCCAGTGTTGTTGGAGGTGTCAATAGGAGTATTCTAAAGCTTAAAAACCATTAAGGAATTTTGTTACACTAAATATGAGGCCTCAATGTGATGTGGCTGGCAAAGTAACTACTGTGATCTTGGCAGAATGTCTTACAATGATGTCTAGTGTTGTGACAGGGATGATGGTCCCATTTTGCTCTGTGCTGTTCTTGTACCTTAAACACTATGTTCTCCATAGGTATCACACATTAAATGGCAGATGTACAGTAACAGGAACTTGTTTGGAGGACACCTACTTACGTGGTGAAGAAATGCAAATCAGGGAATATAAATGAGCACTCAAGGAAGAAAAGAAAATTGTCCTTTGGACATGGATGTGATTGTAGATCTCAGATAGTCCAGAGAAAATGGCATCTAAATCAAGAAATAGAGTCAGGGATGGGAAAGTTGAACTAAAATTCACAATGATGACCAGAGAAACTAACAACGAAGTTCCAAAATTTATTATCTAGGTTGAGGTATCGGATGCATGAATTAAATGGGACCCAATTACAAATTCTGCCAAAGACCTTTATCTTCACTCGGAACATTTGTATTAAACTGACCACTCAGCAATAGCTTTTTTTCTATGATGTCTTTAAAGAAACTAGGTTTCTTTAACTATTTGGTTGTAAAAGAAGGAGTAATCTGGTTCTCCATGGATTAAAATTATAAGTCCAAGACCAATCTATGAAAGCTATAAGGAGACAGATCTCAACTTTGTATAAGGAACAGTCTTTCAAAATTAGTCTCCCTTCTATTTTCTGTTCTCCTTTTCCAGAATTTTATTTGAAAGTTGGACCTCCTAAACTGAGCCTCAGGTTTCCTTTCTTTCTTTTATTTTTCATTTATTTGTCCTATTTTTGTACTTTCTGGAAAAATATCTTTACTTTTTGTCATTTTATTGATGTGTTTGTATCATATTTTTAATTTTCAAGAACTGTTTGTCTCTGAACATTTCTTCTGACAGCACCCTGTTGTTAAGAGAAAAACTTCAACCGAATTAAATTTAAAGGAGTTTAACTAAGCTACGAACGATTTGCAAATTGGGAAGTCCCCAGAATCACAGCAGATTCACAGAGGCTCCAGGGGATGCCTCATGATCAGAACAAATAGGCAAAAAAATAAATAAATAAAGTGACATACAAAAATCGGAAGTGAGGTACAGAAACAACTAGATTGGTTACAGCCCACGGTTTGCCTTATTTGAACACAGTCTGAACACTCAGCAGTATATGAGTTGCTGCTGGGATTGGCCAAGACTCAGCTCTTCTTATAGGTGCATATTCCTAAGTTAGGTTTTAATCTTGTCTACCGATTAAGTTAGGTTACAGTTCATCTACAAGGACTCAAATATAGTCGTACAAAGTCCTTCTCAGGCCATATTTAGTTTGCTATTACAGTGTTCTTGTTTCATGTATAGAATATCTTCTCTTATTTCTCAGGATTTTTAAAAATGTTTGAAGTGGGTTTTTTTTCTTGCTAAATCATCTTGGTTTCCTCAGAGTTGCTTTTTTTCTGCTTCTTTGTTTAGGTATGTGTTCTGTTAGATTTTTCTCAAATATCTATTGATTTTTGATTGCCATTTATGTTTTAAAAAGCAAAGAAATAAAAACTACCTGTAAGCTCATCGTGCATGGGAGGGGCTTGCCAACAGATTGGGCTGGGCTGTTTCATTAAGAAACTCTCATTCGTTCATTAGCTTGGGCTGATCAGCTTCCCCAGAGAGAATTTCTCCAATTTCTGCTTAAGGAATATTAGCCTGGATTGTAGAGCAGAAGAAAGGTGCTATGGATCTCACCATTTAGTTTCTAGACTTCCATTGAATCCCACCTTTATTATAAAATTGTGTCCTCAGACATGTCTGTTGTCCCAGAAGCCTCTGGTCTATCCTCCCCTGAGAGTAACCTCCATGCTTATTCTAGGGAGGAGAAGGGATATGGTGGTCACAGTGCTTCTTCACATTGATAGAGGCAGGAGGCAGAGAAATTCTAGGTAGACAACAGCAGGTCCCCAGGGAAACCCCACCTTCAAGCCAAAAAGCCTGAAACCTGTGACCCAGCATGAGAAAATCTATTCCTGTTTGCCTGCTGTCTCCTGATGGGTTCTTTCTGAATAATGCTTTTTTACCAATTGAATGTTGCCTTTTCCAAAACTACCTACAGCCCACCCCGTCCCACAATCCTCTGCCTATGAATACCCCAGACTCAGTTGGTAGAGGAAAGAGAAGGGGCTCAGCTGGAGAGAGGTGACTTGACTTCAGAGAGATGGCTGGATTTCGGAGGAGAAAAGACTTGACTTCAGGGGAAGACTACCGGCCTACTCTGTCCTCTCTCCAGCTCCCCTCTCTGCTGAGAGCCATTTCCTTCACTTAATAAAATTTTCCGCCTTCACCATCCTTCAAGTGTCTGGACGACATTGTTCTTCTTGGACGCTGGACAACAGCTTAGGACCCACCAAGTACAGGGACCCAAAAAAGGCTGTCACACTGGCCCTTTGCCCTTGCTGGTGGAAGGCAGCTACCCCATGTGACGAGGCAAGAGGCCCACTGAGCTGATACCACTCTGCTGTCCATGGATGGCAGGGCTAAGAGAGCATTGTAACATGCATTCTGGAGCTTCAGGGGTTGCAGGCACCCCAACCTGGGTGCCACTGCAGGGCCCGTGCAGAGCTTGCTCCTGCCAGTGCCCAAAGTGCTCAGCTGGATCTCATGCTCGCTCGCTCACATGCTCCCTCCCACAAGGGATTGAGTGCAGTGGGTGAAGTAAATGGGGCACCCCAGCACAAGTCCAACAAAGAGGTCAAGAGAAACTCTCCATCAACATTTTTCCACTCAGTCCTCTGTCAGCGCAACTTTTAGAGTTATCTGCTACTATAAATTCATGAGCCTTTTTCTGTATCTCTGTGATTTAGCTTGCCTTCTCCTCCTCAAGGTTTACGTTTGAACTTTGGGCCTACTAAGTCACCTTACCATTCTTTGGCCTGCTTTTTAGCTTCCAGAATTGTGTGCTATCATATCTACATTCAAGCTTTATTTCTTTGTCCTTGTGGACTTCGGCCCTTTTTAAAAGTACTTCAGCATTATTAAAGGAGAGAAAAAGTGTTTTAAAGAGAGAAAATGTAAACTCGTGTGTGCAATTTACCAAGTTTGTCCAGGAGAACATTTTAATACAAGTATCCAATGATGGAATGTGTTGACTGGAGATTTTCTAGGTTCCAGCAGAGGGAGTGTCATAGCAGGTTTCAAGCACCAGAGAGCACTGCTAAATTGGACAGCAGATGAGACCAAATAACATTTGTAACAGAAACTGCTCCTTAGTAGTACCTATTCTTTCCTTTCTTCTTAGAGTAATAAAACTCTGGATTTTTAGCTGTGCAAATGATTATCCACAATTAAATCAGCATCTCTCAATTTTCCTTGAAGTGATATGTGACAACTGGGCTTACCAAGTGACATATGCAACTTTCTAGTCATGCTGTTTAAAGGGGGGTGTCCCCTCCCTCCTTCATACTTTCTCTGAGCTACAATGTGGAAGGAGCATGAGCTATCTCACACTGTGTAAATAAGACACCAAGGGGTGGCAGATCAATAAGAAACCTAATCTTTGACAACTGTATGGAGCAAAATCATGATACCCACTTGGGGTTTTGTGTAAATGAAATTTCTATCCTTTTTAAGACAATTTTACATTGTGTCTTTGTCTATTAAAACATTTGAAACTACATTCTAAGCATCATGAACTTTAAGATTCCTTTCCACGCTGAAAATCTATGGAAATATTAAGAAAATACAGAAATTCCATTTTCAGTAACAATGAAAAGTTCAAGTAGAATAGGGAATGAGGCACTCAGTGAACTTACATCTCAAAGCTAACAGGCAAAATTTGTTACATGTAATATCTGCACCTTTCTATCCATCTTGGTCTAATTAATTCATGGATAAAAGTAATGTTCACCTATTATATATTCACCATCTTAAAATCCCACGTGCAAATTCTGATATCAGAAGAAACATGTGGATATTAATGGTAAAGTATAGTGATAATAAGAAATAAGATACGCTATCTCACCAGAGAAGAGGTCTCTGCTAAGAAAAAGAATGGTTATAAGGGCAATGACTTTTAAGGAGCTCGTACTTCCAAAGGCTGTGGCAGTTCATGGTTAATACGCCTGTCATCATAGTAGTGTTGTTTTGACATTGTCTAGTGCAAATAGCTTGAGCTTGGTATTAAACTGACCTGGGTTTGAAACTCAGTTCTACTTGCTAGGGTCGTGAAACTGGAAAAATAATCTAAACTCTTTGCACTTCATCTATCCCAGTGACAAAATAGAAAAAAAAAAAAAAGTGTCATGTTTATTTCAGCTCGTCTTCTCATCTGATAAAACTTTATACTGGTTTACCTTTATATTCTCTGTCTGTAAGGTTTGTGTTTTCACCTCTAATAGGAAATTTGCTCGATCACACAGCATTTAATTAGTTCGTCTGAACTGCTGCTTCTCAATTTAAAGCTACATGAGCTTCGAAAACCTTGATTTTTTTTTTCATTTCCCTGAGGAAAAACAAAAGGTTCTGAAAGCATATTTTTCCTACATTTATTATTTGTGCTACTTACTTGATTTGATTTCAGGCCAGTCAGCTTGTTCTATTCTGTGGTCTTCATACTGTATGTCCAAATAAGCAAATATGTAACGAATAATTTCTGCTCTCCCCCTCATATTAAAATAAGTGAGTTTGTAGTTTGGCATGGTGCAATTCTGGAAAAAGAAAAAGGGAGGGATTATTTTTAGAGCCCTCTAGAGATGTCTCAATATTTTTCTTCAGAATTTATTGGAAAACTTTATGGCATCTCTTGAGATAACTGGAGACATTAGAGGATATTTCAAAACCAAAATTATAAATCACTATCTAATTACATATGGGGAAACTTGGTTGAAATCAGATCATGAATCTCTCTCTCTCTCGGCACTAGTTAGAGCATTACAGTGAAATAACCAAATTCAAACTTTATTTATAAAAATATTCAGATTAAGTGGATAGCTACACACCAACCTTCAGAGCATGGAGCAAAAAAAACTTCCCACTTTAAGATGATTCTGCCCTGCTTTCAGTCACTGGTAATGCTTAATATTTGATATTTTGCCGTTTTGTTTGCTCTTGTGACACAGCTCAGAGTTTATGAGGACATCTGGGTAAGGACAGCCAAGGGCTGGGCACACGCAAGAGGAATGTGAGTACCATGCCAACCTGTCTTTGCCTCTCTTTCCTCACCTGTGGCTTTCCCTCTAGGCATCCAAGGCCTAGGGAAACACTGCTCTCTGGTTCCCTCTGACTGCATCCATGCTACTGGGTTTTACTGGGTTACTTGCACCACAAAACACACCCCATCTCAAGACCTCTGCTGACAATCTTCCTTCATTCCCTCTGTAGAGGAAGAAAGCCAACTATTCTTACATTTCAAAATGTTTGCTAATACCAGCTAATTCAGTCATTATAATCTTATGGGTTTTCAGTGATTTGTATCTTCATTTTCATTGTTTATAAATGGTTAGTGACTTTAAGCACTTGTAGTGGAATATATTTCAATTTTTTAAGATCAAACAACTGAGAAAGAAATGTTTCCATTTGAAATTCAATTCTTTGAATTTGGCCTTTGGCCAGCTAAAATCTCCCTGAATTTCAAAGACCACTTTTGATAAATAGTGATATTAACATGGATTTGTAAATTAATGAGGTAATGCATATAAGGTACATAGCATAATGGCAAATTTAATCATTAGCATTAGTAATGACTTTGATCTCATTCTGTATTCAAGAATAAACATTATGAATACAGCACACTAAAGATAATAATTATGGTAACTAAATGAATAAAAGCATATAAAGATGATTATTTAAAGTGGTGAGTTTAAATAGTTTATTCCCTACTAAGAAAGTTTTTAAAGAATATTAATGGAATATTAATTAGATAAAAAGGAAAGTTGGGCTCAAGCCTCGAATCAAAGTTTCATCAAAAATCACATCACAGACCAGGCGCAGCAGCTCATGTCTGTAATCCCAGCACTTTGGGAGGCAGAGGCAAGAGGATCACCTGAAGCCAGGACTTCGAGATGAACCTGGCCAACATGGTGAAACCCCGCCTCTACTAAAAGTACACAAATTGGCCAGGTGTGGTGTTGTGTGCCTGTAATCCCAGCTACTCAGGAGGCTGGGGCAGGAGAATCGCTTGAACCCCAGAGACAGAGGTTGCAGTGAGCCAAGATCACGCTACTGCCCTCCAGGCTGGGCAGCAGAGTGAGACTCCATCTCAAAAAATAAAAATAAATCACATCACATAAAAGGTTAAACGCAAATCATAAAAATCCAGGTTGCCAAGTCCTGACTTTAAGTTTACATATTCCTGGAGTCTAGTGGGAAGAGGATGACCTGAAATAACTGTTTCATTGCCTATCTAGAAGCTCCCAGGTTCAGGAAGTGACAGTGATGGTAATTCCTAGCAAAACCATTTTTTCTGGCCCTGGTTTCTGTGTCCAGATGTTGTGGAGTGAAGCTAGTGCTCCTTGCTAAAACGAGAGAGGTACTACTGCCAATCACTCCCGCCCAGTTTGCATCAGCCAGTCTAGTCTACACCCAACTGAGATGTAGCACTCACCACATGTATAGATATGTGGGGAAATGTCCTTGAAAGAGACAAGAATTGACTAAACTAATAATAATTCCATGATTTACAGCCACAAATTTCTTTGGGGGAAAAATATACATATAAAGGAGTTCGAATTTGGGATACTAAATGAAATGCCCATCAGAACAATGGAACTGTTTTCCAGGTTACTTAGAAATGTTGAGCTTAGAAATAAATAATGGAAAAGGTCTAAGAGCACCAACATAGTTAATAAAAAATGTAATAATTAAGAGATTATTCTTATCCAGGAATAGCATAATTGTTATAATTCCTGGACCTATTTGTTTTAAATATCAAAACAATTTTTAAAAGCCTACAGAGTGGAAAAAGTGTGGTTATTAGTTGCAGTTTCTATTTGGTGTTTCGTTTCATTTTGTTTGGTTTTGTTGCGGCACAGTGTCACTCTGTCCCCCAGCCTGGAGTGCAGTGGCTCAATCTTGGCTCACTGAAACCTCCACCTCCTGGATTCAAGCAATTCTCCAGCCTCAGCCTCCTGAGTAGCTGGGATTACAGGCATACACCATCACGCCTGGCTAATTTTTCTATTTCTAGTACAGACGGGGCTTCACTTATGTTGGCCAGACTGGTCTCAGGTTCGTTTCTCAACCTCAGGTGATCCACCCCACTTGGCCTCCCAAAGTGCTGGGATTACAGGCGTGAGCCACTGTGCCTAGCCTGCAGCTTCTACTTGAAAAGCATTCTATATAAAATTTTTTATTGGTTTTGTTGGCATAGTCAATGTTTCCACAGCATGAAGAAATTATATTTTCTCCCTACATTAAAAGTTATCAGCATTACACAGGGCGCCATGGCTCACGCCTGTAATCCCAGCACTTTGGGAGGCCAAGGCGGGTGGATCACAAGGTCAGGAGTTTGAGACTAGCTTGACCAAAATGGTAAAACCCCATCTCTACTAAAAATACAGAAATGAGCTGGGAGTGGTGGCGGGCGCCTGTAATCCCAGCTACTCAGGAGGTTGAGGCAGGAGAATCACTGAAATCCGGGAGGCAGAGGTTGTAGTGAGCCGAGATCATGCCATTGCACTCCAGCCTTTTTGAGACTCCGTCTCAAAAAAAGAAAAAAAAGTTAACAGCATTAAACATTAAACATATAACCTTTTCTCATTCAATCAACTACCACATGGATATCAGTGTCCACCTGATGAATTCTGCATGAAAACAAAGTGATTGTTTTTTATTGTTGTTAATTTTCAAAATTATGCTGTTTTATATTGTATTTGACTCAAGTAAAGAAGACATTTAAAAATTCTCAGCATAGGTTGGCAGCTATCTATATTTCTCTGCAAAAATATCTTGAAGTCTAAGATTTGGCAGAGGCCCAATAGCAGCTAACAAATGCTTATCTTGCCTTTTAAAATATTCTTTCAACAGTTGTAACTCATTAATGAAGCTGTACTTTTTACATGACATTTCTGTAGTTATTTGCATGATTATATTTTCTGTTTGTCTCAGGAATACAAGATGTTAAATCAGAACATCCATCTGTATAATAAACTACATTAAAAGAGAAAAACCAGGCTGGGTGCAGTGGCTCACGTCTGTAATCCCAGCACTTTGGGAGGCCGAGACAGGCAGATCACTTGAGGTCAGGAGGTTGAGACCAGCCTGGCCAACATGGTGAAACCCTGTCTCTACAAACAATGTATACAAATTAGCTGGGTGTGGTGGCGTGAGCCTATAATTCCAGCTACGCAGGTGGCTCAGGCACGAGAATTGCTTGAACCTGGGAGGCAGAGGTTGCAGTGAGCCAAGATCGTGCCACTTTACTCCAGCCTGGGTGACAGAGTGAGACTCTCTCTCTCAAAAAAAAGAAAGAGAATTATCATAAAACATACTATCATCTCAATAGATACTAAATGCTTTTAAAAAGCATTTATAACATTATCACTCATTTGTGATCAAAACTCGCAAAATGAAAAAAACAACAAAATAAAATACCTGTTAGCAAACTAGTAATAGAATACTTCCTTAACCGTATAAAGAGTCTCTACTGAAAACTTATAGCAAACATACATAATGGTGAACCAATAAAAGCATTTTCTTTAATGTCAGGAATAACAAGAATCCCACTATAACATCTACTATTCAGCATAATGCTGGACAGCCTAGCTAATTCAATAATGTAAGACAATAATAAATAACATTTGTAAGTAGTAGGAAGGGAGCAACACAGCTGTCCATTTGCAATCAAAATGATTGTCTATATTTAAAATTCAAGAGATTCTACAGATAAACTGGATCCTAGATTTCAATTGGAAATGCTAAGGACCAAAATAGCCAAGACAAACAAAAAAAGAGAACAGAAGAGGAAGACCTGATGTACCAGAGAGCAAGACTTAGATAAAAAGCCTTGTAATGCAATATTTGTTCAGAGGTGCATTGTCTTAAAACAGAACCTCACATATAGGACAGACATGACATAGAGTGAGGACATAAAGAAACTAGACTAAAATGGTTCTGAGACAATAGAGGGAAAAAAAGCATAATTAGACCCCAACTTTCTATCGTACACAGAAATAACATCTAGGTTATCTTGGCATAATTTGACTAGCACAGCAAAACTCCAATATCATTCTGGTCCCGTGTTTCCTGTTAGCTTCATTTCTGAACCCTTCCACTGTCACTGTGTTAAGAATCTCATATAGAGAAAACTGCATGTTTCCTGGAATGATACAGAAGCATGAAGTTTAAAAGCTGATAGTGTTTGAAGATTTTTACATCTAAAGATCTTTGCATCTAAAATTAACCACTGACTTCCTTACACCCCAAAGTATATCGTGTAAAGTTACTAATTCAGCAGATAGATAAAAAGCTCATTTAGAATTCTGTTTGAAAAATAACCTATACGGTTTCTCAAAGAACACATACATAAATGACTAATAAATACCCTGGATAGAAACTTACATATATAAACTCATATGAACACAGCTATCCAGTGCAGAAGATTTAACTTTTAATATTAATATATGCATTAGGAAATAAGCTCTTTTACATAGGAAATAACAGTGTTTTCTAAAGTACTATCTTGGGTACTTCCTTTCTTTCCCTTTCTTTC